CGGGTTCCTGCGGGAACCGCCCGCGGGACTGCCCCCCCCGTTACGGGCCGAGAGGAGCTCCCGCCGGGCTCCCCCGTGCTGAGGTGGCGATGCCAGCGGGAGCAGAGCAGGTACTTCTCTGTATGCGGCTGCTCCGAAAACATCCCTAGGGTTCCGTGGTAGCCTTTTCTGGAGCCTGCTTTTTAACTTCTTTTCACGGAATGCTGTCGTTCATAGCCCTGGGCTTTTCAGGATCGAGCCTTTTCTCCAGGCTTCGTCGCGCCTTCCTCTGTGTTTTGGAAAGCGCTGGCAGCCCCGTCAGGCTCGAGCGTGCGTGGCCGACCCCGCCGGCAGACGCCAACCTGTCCCTTTGCTTTCAGACCCTAGGTCACTTGGAGAAGGCTGTGGTTCTCGAGCTCACCCTGAAGCATGTGAAAGCGCTCACCAATCTCATTGAGCAGCAGCAGCAGAAAATAATTGCTCTGCAGAACGGTTTGCAAGCGGGTGAGTGTTCAGACCATGCCGCGTGAGAACCTGTGTGCGCTCGATGGACTTTCTCTCGGAGTCTTGGAAATGCAGTTGTGACACTTCGTTCCTGACAGGGGAGGAGGCAGGAGTTCTTGCCTTTAATTGCCATCATTTTCTCTCACTTTGCTTAGGAGCTTTCGCAAAAAAGAAGATGTGTTTCTCAATATGGTCAGTGTAGGGTGCCCCGTGGAGTTTTTTTGAAGTTCAGTTGGATTTTAAGTAGTTTTATTTAAAGCCTGGGTTTGCTGTGAGGTTCTCCAAAGCCATTCGAATCCTTCCACTGGTGTTCATGAGCTTTAGACCAAACCCAGTTTTACTGCTTTCTTTGGTTTTTTTTCTGAAAATACATATAAACCTGTTTTTTATGCACACCTCTTTTTAGGTTACTGTATAAACGAGCTAGCCTGTGTTCTGCATGCACAGAGGAGAGCCGGTGTATCAGCTTAGTGTGTTTTAGATGCACTTCCTCCTGTTTTCATATGTGGCACTCACGTGAATCTGATAAAGTAAAACGCAGTTTTTCTGAAGAGCCTTCCGCTGCTCTGACAGCCACAGGGAGTGCAGTAGAGCTTGAAGCCGGAGCAAAATCGCCCGAGGTTTGTGAAGCTGCTGGTGGGCAGACGTGCTCCAGGAGCTCTCTGCCTGGAGGTGGAGGGCGAGGTGTGCTCTGCCTTCCCCCGGGGTGTTTTCCCGGAGAAGGCACCAGCTTGACTCGCTCCTTCGCCCCACGCTTCACACCTGTTGAAGGTGGCACAGACAGTAAACGCAGAACTGAAAAATAAGTTGAAAGCTGTTATGTAAAATCGGATAGGCGGATGTTGGGATAAAAATGTTGGCTTGTGCAGGCATCAGGGGGATGTATGCCAAGTGCAGGCTGACCATCAAGTTCACCTCTCTAGCTGTGCTGTAACCGAGGTTTAATATCGCCTCCAGTCCTCCTGGAAGATGGTAATGGAACTATTTAGCACGTTGTTAATTTTTAATTTCTTTCTGTTAATGTTTCCTCAGGTGACCTGTCATCAAGAAACCTTGATTCCAGCCAGGAAATGTTTCGATCCGGTTTCCAGATGTGTGCCAAGGAAATGCTGCAATACCTGGCAAAGCACGAGAATGGCAAGGACCTGAAGTCGTCCCAGCTGGTCAGCCATCTGCACCGAATGGCCTCCGAGGTGCTCCAGGGCGGAGCCGGCCGCAAGTCTGGAGACATCCCTCCTAAAATGGTGGACTTGAAAGAGAAGCCCGTCTCCTTGACCAAAGCGGCGGAGGGACATGGGAAAAACTGTGTGCCTGTGATCCAGAGGACATTTGCTCACTCCAGCGGGGAGCAGAGCGGCAGCGACACGGACACGGACAGCGGGTACGGGGGAGAGCTGGAGAAAAGTGACTCCAAATCCGAACAGCAGTATTTCAGAAAGGATACTGAACTCAAGTACGCTGTCCAGGAGAGAATAAGCTCTATTAAGCAAGAGACTGAGGACCCGCCGGCCAAAAGGAGCAGGCTGGAGTCACCGGAGGATGAGGGCCCTTTTGGCAGCGACATGATGGGCTCTTCCGGCAGCTTCCTGGGCCCCCACACTCACCAGCCTCCCTTGTGCCTGCCTTTCTATTTGATCCCACCATCCGCAACAGCCTATCTGCCCATGCTGGAGAAGTGCTGGTACCCAGCCTCCGTACCTGTCTTGTACCCCAGCCTCCCAGCCTCTGCTGCAGCACTTACGGGGTTCATGAACCCCGATAAAATCTCCCCGCCTCTGCTGATGCCCCAGAGACTCCCTTCTCCCGTACCGGCCCATTCCCCTATCGACTCCTCAGCTCTGCTTCAAGCTTTGAAGCAGATTCCTCCTTTGAACTTGGAAACCAAAGACTAAGCGCAGTGTGACTTCTTTCTTTTTTTTTCCTTTTTTTTTTTTTTTTTAGTTTGAGACTGTTTCACTTTTATATATTGGCTGGACTGAGGTGTGGGGTTTACTGCACGTAGGAAGCTAAATCCCCTTTTCTCTGACTTGTCAGGTAGTTTGGAGAAGGATGAAGGATACGCCCAGGTTAGCAATTCAGAACTACTTCCAAAAGAAACAATCAAAAAAAAGAGGGTTTTGTGCTTTCCCCCTTACCTTCTTCCCTCCCCACATCTACACAACAACAGTTGACTCGGTCAGCTGTGACTACGTTGCAAAGCTGTGAAAAAATACTCCATTAAGCAGACTTGGATTTAGGGTCTGTGAATATAAAAATACGGTACTTCTCATAAGGGCTTTCAAGGTAACGGCCCCACGGCCGGTAGTTTGAGCTGATTCGGTGCCCCATCAGTCGCCAGTGTCGCAGCCGCCCCGAGCGCGGTGCAGCGGTGGTGGCAATGCCACCCAGAGCGGAGGAGGAGCAGAGCAGCGGTCACTGCTTGGTCATGAGGTAGACTTAAGACGGGTTTCTCTCCACACCTTTGCTGATACATATATATATATATATTTTTTAAGAAATAAAAGGTAGATGCTGCTTGGAAGCTTTACATGGCGTACATCTAATAAATAAATTAACGCGCGCCCCTTCCTGTAACTTGAGCTGCTAGTTTGGGCCAGGTAGGGGAGAAAACATCCCAAGCACACTCTGCTTGTTGCACCTGACCCCAGGCCTCTCTCTCGCTGCTGCTGTACAGTTTCGCTGGGTCTGGTCTGTTGGAAATGGAAATGGTTTTACAAGTCCCGTCAGCAGGGACGTGGCCGGCGAGGAGCCGCTTCTGATGCGGGGTGAGGGCTTCACGCGGGAGGGAGCGATTCAGCCGCGGTCGGCAGTGCGATGCCTGCTGAATGTGCCCCTGTCAGTGCCTTTGAAAAATTAAAAGGCTGGGATGTTCAAAGGAGTCTAATCCCGATGGGGTTTGAGCATCTAAATTCCTTCGTCTCCTTGGCAAACCCTGGCCCACATTACTGTAGTAAAGAAAGAGGGTTAGGGCGTTGACACTTGTCCCATTAAACCCTGAGGGTCTTCCTCTGCAGAGGAGCATCATGGCCAATTTGGCTTTTATTTTTTGAATTAAAAAAAAACCCAAAACCAACATCACTGCAAAATGCAGTGCTGGGGTGGTTTGTTTCCTTACTGGTTTTGAGAACTTGTGTCCAGAAAGCCTGTTGTATGGATTTTCATTTCGCCTTCCCATTGCACCAGCTGTTGAGATGCACTATGCTTGATTGCAGATTGTGTTCTAATGTTTATTTTGTTGTTGGGTTTTGTTTTTTT